GGTTTAGAGTTTAGGGTTTAGAATGTAGGGAGGGAGGGAAGTATAGTTCGGAAAGTTTTCAGGTGGGTAGTTACCAGGTGGATGCCGTTACGTAAGACCTCTTTAAGGCTTACATGGGTCATATGAGGGAGCTACCCAATTCAAATTTCCTGAGACATAGGAGTGTTTAGGGTTTAGAGTTTAGGGTGTAGGGTATACAGGGTTTAGAGTTCAGGGTTTAGGGTTTAAGGTATACAGGGGTTGTACAAAATTAAACAACCATAGAGGACTCATTGTTTCAGTTTCTTAAATTACGGGGCCCCTAGGGACCCAAGACTCCATGGTTACGCCTTCTACTTTCCCTGCTACGCGGCCATCATACGGCTGCGCAAAGGCAATGTCGACGCCTAAACTACTACCACTATCCTCTTGGGGTCTGTTTACTTTGGCGGCAATTCTCCAGCTTCTGAAGCCAAGACCCCCCAAACTCAACATACCATTCAATAATCAAAATCGTAACATATACCACACAAAAACAAGCCGCTTCGCATATTTGTACACCAGAACTGTCCCACGATTGTCGAGCGAACTAAATGTTGAGTCTACTTCCCAGCTCTCGATATCCCGACCTATCAAACATGGCACCATCATGGGAAGACGGGTAGCTCGATCTCCTTGAACAAGGCCTCTACGGACTTGAGGGTACCTTTGCCCCACTTCTCCTGGCGCATGCAAAACCCTGAGGGTTCACATATCTAATAACCGAATAATCACATACTTCCCCAAAATTCCTGTACGTCAGATATTTTTACCAAAGCCTGCTTATGCAATTAGTTACGTGGACCCTGACAGGGACCCAAGTATACGTGTACCCTGACAGGGACCCAAGTATTGCAGAAGCTTCTGAGCTACCAAACTGGAAGTATCCTCTTTGGGTGCCATGCTTTGGCAGTACTGTCGAAAGCACGACTGATCAGGAATATGATCCCTCACAGGTCATTACAGAGCTGTTTGTTGCATCGTATGCCCCCAGACACGATCCTGAACGTGTAAGCACACGTAACTCCAAAAGCCAGGGTGCTACCCAAAAAAAGCAAATTTACTATGGGGACCCGCCTTGTAATATTGGACCTCCAAAATGAGAACCGGGATTAGAATATTTTTAGGCGAATCCTCCTGTCCTGCCCAAACCTTCGATGAAGTAATGCTGGAGATTCAAGCGGAAACAACAATGCAAAATGAAATGGACACTGAGGTTGTATACGGTTATACAGGGTAACAAGTTATCCTAATATGCCCAACCTGCCGATCTCATCAATCTCATCCAAATCTCTCAGAAAACCTACGTGAGACCCACGCAAGCCATAGACGCTTACATAATTACAAATATCACTTTGAGGTCTATCGGAGGTAGTTTTGAATTTGTCCTAACCATATAAAGAATCTAGGAAATTCTACGGTGGATAACAGTAGGACCCACGGTCGCCTTTGTCTTTTTTGCATGTGCAGAATAGCAGCAAAAAGGACTTCGCACAAAGACAGTCATCCCTTGACAGGCCCTATGTCCTAGTAATAGCTCTAGTAAGGATAGCAAGAAAAACACTAATCAAAAATTCAATAAGCTGGTAACAGTAATACCGTACCATTATTATTGATGATACTTATTGTGAATGTATTCTGATAATTTTGGCCGCCTTCCCGATAATTAGTCATATGGTAAGCTATGCCGGGTTCATAAATACCGGAACCATCGAAACAGCCCTGTTGCCCCTCACAAAGCAGCCCCCGTCCATCTTCAAGTCGAACTGCGAAAGCCTGGATTAACGTAGCGGATCTCCGTATGGGGCTCAAGATATGGTAGTTTCCCAAAACAAGGGGACCCCAATATAGACCCCAAAATATTATAGTCCTTATTATAGGGACCCCCCAAAATGGTACCCCTAAATTTGGGAAACCCCCATATTGGAGATCCTCCAAAAAGGGTGCCCAGGGATCCCATCGACGTATGAGGACTATTATGAACCCTAAGGGTCCAAGTACCTAATAATCATATACTGCCCCCAAACCTGTACTATAATTACTATCTAATTATTGGGTACTTGGACCCTTTGGGGAAAGAAAGATTGTACGTTTGTGGACTGGCTGGGAATTCTGTTGAGAAACTGCCAGCTCTGCCCCAAAATCGTTTTTGGGTTTAGGGGTTTAGGGGTTTAGGGTTTATAGGGGTTTAGGGTTTAGGGTTTAGGAGCTAAGGGTTTAGGGTCCTTGTTGCATGGTATCCCGGTTGAAGACTCACACGCTTCTGGTCAAACCTCCAAAAGTCCAAAGGACTTGTAGAACAACTCCTGTGTCTCAGATTCATGAAGTAGTGGGGGCCTCGGCCAAGAGGACACCAAAAGTAAAGAGGAATAGTAACAATAATCATAGTAATCGTAATAATAGTAATTCTAATAATAATAGTAGTAATCATAATAGTAATAATAGCAATAATTTGCTAGAATTTAAGCCCTCGTCCTGCTTTGTATCTGCAAGCTTCAGGGTCAAGAGCTCAGCAAGAACCCGGCAAGGTGGCCGTTGGTGGATTTTAGCACTGAGGGTCTACGGCTTGTTGGGGTTCAGGGTTTAGGGGTATACTGGGGTTATATAGGGATACCACCCCCATAATGGAGAATCAAATGGACAAGAAATGCAAAATGAAATGGAAACGGCCACATAGACGGTTATACACGGATTGTATGTGCTATAGTCTATTGAATCTCTGCAAGTCAGCTTGTAGAAGTGCAGAGGACATCTAACTTGGGAACTCTGAGGGAGGCAGGGGGGATGTAACTATAGTAGCTTGTATGGAAAAGTCAGCAGCCCCAGCGGAGCAGAATATTTCAATTGCTCCTACTGTACGAATAATACAATAATGCCTACATTTTCCCCGAATGTCGATAAATATTACCTACATAGGGCTTTTTCGGATCCTTAGGGGAAGCCGAAGATATCACAGTTTACGCTTTAAACTGGATGCTGCCAGAATAACCTCTCCTCCAACCCCACAGCCAGCCAATACTTAAAGGGTAAGCCCCAAACAGTAGTTTCCATTTTCTTTTCCATTATCCCTGTATAACCCTGGTATATACCCTATTATAACCCTAATAGATACCCTAATATAGTAGCCTCCAAGTACTGCAGACCCAAGGAGCCAAGTAGTCAACGCAGCTGCGTTGGCAAAGGAGCCTGCGAAGTGGTGAGAAACTGTGCTGGGGGCTATGGATTATCTTTCAGAACTTGGCTAACTCTGCGGTTGCTATATACCCTACATGTACTGTCAAGGGTTCCTAGAAAGGCCTAGGGGCTTCTAGCCTTAGATACTCTGTATAGGGGTCATAGGTAGCCTAGAGATATTTGCCATTGGATTCTTGGGGTCTGCTTAAGATTTGCGGGGAGAATTCTTCAAAGCTTTCATCTGGAAATCTTGCAGACCATGTTCAGGCATCTAGGTGTCGTTAAAAATGCTGAGTGGGGTACACGAAGCTCACACCTGAATTATGATTTCCGGTGTGACCGGATTTAGCACAATCGCGTGGAGGATCGTTCAGTGTTCTAAGCTTGTGATTTCAGGTTGTAGTTTGTCAGCCTTTGATGCACGTGAAGGACACCCTCCAGGAACCAAGGACCCGGGAAGCACTGAAACCTCCGAGAATAGGTGTAACAAGGATCAGAATCTGCAGGGCAGGAATTCAGGGCTTGTGGTGAGCAGTCTTTGACTCAGAAGGAGCTTCTGAAAAGAGAGGGTCTTGGGGACCGCGCAGGGCGGTGGGTTCGCCGTGGTCCGGAGGGTGTTGAAGGATTCTATAGATGCAATTGGGCAAAACTTTTAAGCCTTTCAAAGCCTCGACACGTGGCCACGCAGCAGAATGATCCCACACTGTAAGAGCCCGAACACGTCTCTAACACGTGAGACTTCATTCAGCAGCCAACCCCCCTGAAGATTCCAAAGAGCCCCTTGACTGGATTGCTTTTAAGGGCCTTAAGCAAAGTTACCATATTCTGGGTATGACATAAATACAAAGAATTCCCATTGCAGTAACTTCGCATAAGCTCCTTCACAGAAACCCAGTTGATGCATGCTCTACACCGACTTCGAAGACCTTCTGCAACTGGACTAATCCTGACAGGCCTCAGGTTCCAGATCTGAGGTCACAAATGAGTAGTGGTCTGGGGTTTAGGGTTTAGTGTTTTTTTGGTGGTTGAACCTAGTAAGCTTATATTCCTTATATAAAATAATATACCCAAAAGGAGGATACAATCTTACTCTATATTGGGTACCAGAGTAGCCCTGAACAAAATACTACTCAAATCATGAACTCCCAAACCTTACACCCTGAACCCTAGACTTACGGTCGTTTAGTAGGGGATAAACTCATATAATTCGTACAAGGTCTCGATATTGCCTTATTTCCTACTGACCCCCAGTAAGTAGACTCGACCTTAACCTCCACAACCTTAAATCCCAAACCCTAAATCCCAAACCCTAGACCCTAAACCCTAAACCTGAAGAATCGGCCTTTTCGCTTTGTCTCCTTTAGCTCGCTGCCCTCAAAGAGGTAGCGCTGAATTTGCGGCCACCTAAGCCAGGCTCAATCACAACCCAACACGCCCGGTTTAGGGTCAAGCTTTTTGGGTAGACTCGTGTGCTTTACAGTTTGGGGGCTTCAGGTTTAGGGCGGGGTTACCAAAAAAGGGGGGGGGGGGAAATAGGGTGTAGGGTCTAAGGATAAGGGTTCTTCACTGGGATCCTCATCTTGAGGAGTTGCAAAAAGGGGCTCCTAGTTCTGGAGACCCCATATCGGTACGGGCACGCGCAGAGAGCTTCTCTTTGGCACAGGACCCATCAAGATGAGGGTGCCCTGACAACCCCTGCAGGTAGGGTTCAGGGTGTTTACAACCTCTGCAGGCTTATGGCTCTGTAGCAGGAGAATGGGAATGCCCGTTGGGGTTTGTGCAACGACTGTCTTCAAACAGGTGATAGTTCTGGCGTCTATTGATGAGCAATAGGTATGTAAGAGCTGGAGAGATGATTCGCGTTCACCAAGACTCGAAAGAAAGTTCGCATAGAGAGTTGCAGTGAGGGCGCACCTTGCTTGAAGCTTACCTGGGCCGTGGCAATGGATCCATAAACCCTGAGAGCCTGGGTATGAGGACTGCAGGTTCCTGGATTCGAGACTCACCTTCTCCTTTCTCCCCTTCTCTTACCCTGCCAGATCCACCGTGCCCCAAGAAGGTAACATGGCTTACCCATCCCAGACGACCTTATCTGCAAAATCTGAAAAACGCAAACTCCCTCTGCAGCACACTTTCTCTCCTTCTAAGGTCCCGTCTCCAGCCACACCCACGCATGGATGTACTTGAGCTTGCGCTTGCCATCCTTTGTTATCACTGGATGCTTCTGTCATGGCCGCTTCACTTAGTGTGGATGCTGCTTATGAGAATAGGTCCGGAAGGACCCCAGCTAGGATCACACTGGGGACCTTGTTTCCCGTCCGGTACAAGTCTGTTAAACAAACAGGGCTACATGCCCAATCGTAGTCTGATTTCTCCCTGAACTCTAGCCATTGAAGTCATCATCAGAGGATGATGGGTTGGATCCATATCATCTCAAATGTATACCTACCACCACAAGAACTGCAGTCACGCCTGCTCCCAGTCACTAACCCTGAACCCTAAACGCTAAAAACCCTAAACTCTAAAAATCCGAAACCCTAAACCCCAAACCCTAAAACCCTAAGCCCCTTGATCTCCCGAGATGGCGGCAGGCCTTGTCTGGGTGCTCAAACTCCAATGTGTTCAGATCCGTCAGTGGCAGCCCAGTGCAGATGATGTCCACTGTGTAGAGGTGGTACATGGTTAGCAGTCCTTCACGGAAACTTGGAAGTTTCCCAAAATTAGGTTGCCACTTGGGGGGGGGTCCCGATAGTAAGGACAATTACATGTTGGAGTCTGGGTTGGCGTCCCCTGTTTCAGAAAACTATCACTTAAACTTTCAAGGTGTGACGACCTGGGTGGGGCTTGGAGTTCGCTGTCTCTATGAACCAAATGGGCCACAGTCTTAACTCCTAGTCCCCCTTGATAAGCCCTATCATGCTCCCCTTTATAATCGCGTATATAAGCCCGTTTGAGGAGTTTAGACCCTCAACCCTAAAGCCTAAACCCTCTATAATCCCGCATACAACCCCCTTTAACCAGTTTAGATAATGATTATGTCTCAGCTCATCTTAGGCTTTGAGATTTCGCATCGACTAGCACCAACCTCAGAACGGGTTTACAAGGCTTTGGCCCCTTTGGCCGGGCCTGGAGCTCTGAGAAGTGTACCAAGTTTAGGGTTTAGGGTCTATTGTTTAAGGTTTAGGGTTATGTAGGGATAGCGGAAAAGAAAATGGAAACTACTATTTAGGGTTATATACGGCGTCGCTTTTTAAGCATCCGGACACGTAAACAACCGAACGGGTATTTTGTACTACCTCTGCACAACATGGCGTCCGGTCACCCACGATTAAAACGAATTTAAACAAGAAAACATCCGGTCTTAAATAGATCTTTCATACTACCCCCGTTGCACGTTGGGGTTGGCCGCCCGCCACTTATTTAAAAAAAGCCACCGTAGGGATAGAGGGCTATATATGGTTTAGAGTGGGTTTTTCCTTGTTCTGTTTCCCGAACGCCAAACCGAGCCTAGATCAAGAAAGATTTACGAACTTGAAAACCTGGCCACGTGATCCCTGGCCATTTTTGGCAAACCAAAAGGGTAGCTCCTGTTGCACCCCCCCTACCAGGCCGTCATGACAGTTAAAAACATCTGGGAATATGCAGTGAGGAGCTATGGTGGAGATGATGGCGTTACCAACCTCACCCCAGGGGCCCAAAACTTCTGAAGAGCATTTGTTTAAGGGGAAGGTTACTTTTAAAAAGCGGCTACCTCATAATCAATGAGGGGGTTCCGCGGTCATACGGGGGCTTTATATAATGAGATCAAAAGATGTAAAAGTAACTGTGGGCCCCCTTGATTTCCTACTTGTTTATTGCTTTCGTATATCTTACAAGGATTTCACACAAATTCTAATCGGGGCTTGAATAGGTTTTACTTCTATTATTCTATTTTCATTGATTAAGTAGACTTCAATTGGTTCTGATACGATGTGAAGTGGATCGTAATGAACAAATAAATAGATCCTGCTTCAATTTCAACTGATTTCATTGCAGATGAATGTCAACCGGTTCTTACTTGGATTTCTTTAGGATTTACTTAAATTTCAATTGAGCTTGATAAGATTATAACCGGTTCCACTCGATTAATTCAATTCGAGCTAGTTTTTACTTATTTAACTACGATGTCAATTAGATTTCAAGTGGTCTTCATGAGACTTTAACTGGATATTCCTGGGATTTGGATTAAGTGTTCTTCTAGTTTCATGTCAGTTGTCTGTAAATTAGTGAGAAGAATAAGAAGCTCCTAAATTTGAATTGGATCTTAATCTATTTGGAGTTCGATCAGGTTTGTACTGGTTGAATTGGAATTAGATTTGAAATAAATAGAATCTAAAAGCTGTTCAAACATGCTTTTGAGGCAGCCCTATCTAGTTTGTTCAACAAATATCCCGCCTAATGGCCCTAATATCAACTAATTGTTCGCAACGCGGATTATCTAGAACAACGGGGGAGACTGTCACTTCATGTTAATTATGGGGGGAAAGGATTAGATTGGTCACCAGGTGTAGTGCCGTAGCAAGAGGAGTGTAGCAGACGCTGTGGCACCAAGCGGCACGTAGCCAGAGCAGTGGTTGTTCTGAAAGCGGTGGTGGCGGCGGGGACATGGCGGGGGTGCAGTCTGGGTCAGTGGAGTCAGTGCGGGTTCGGTGCCGGTAACGGTGCCAGTTGGTGTTGGTGCTCCTGCCCTGCCCGGTGTCAGTGTGGGTGCGGGTGCTCGAGCCCGGCGACGGCATTGGCGCCAGCAGCAGCGGCGTTGACGGTACAGTAGCAGGCAGTGGGGTGGCGGCGGCGTTTTTCTGTAGTACTTGCAGTGGCAGTGGCAGTGGCAGTGGCAGTAGCATAGCAGTTGTAGGCCAGATGTTACCAGGAACTCATTTACGACGATCATGTCAGCAGTTTGAATAATGCATCGTCCCGGATAGCTCTTGGATTTCTCAAGCTCGATGATGTGGTCCACGAAATGGGCGTTGACCACCTGCTCCAGCTGAATGTCACAAGAACCAGACAAGAACCAGTGCGGATTGTACAGCCTGCGAGACGCACGGACCTGGGAAGAACGACTATATATCATGGGGTCAAGAATGGGGGCAGGGTGACAGGCCCGAAACTTAAAACAAGTGCTCAGTTCATGCCTGACCGTGCCCTCTGAAGTTCGTCTGGAGATGATGTGGCAACACATGATTGCTTTTGTTTCTCGCATTCTCTGTGTCTCTTTCCCTCCCTCCCTCTCTTGCCCTCTCTCCCTCCCTTCCTCCCTCCCTCAGAGCGATCGAGCTGAGTAAGGTGGAGATGGCGGTTGCGCATGCCAGGTTGCAATCCCGTCTCTTATTTGAAGATTCCAAGCTGTCTATCTGTTGTAGGGGCATAGGCAGGTCCAGTACGCAAAGGTCCTACGCAACTCTTCAGCAGTCCAACAGTCCCACATGCTTCAAGCTTCCTCTGCTCTCGTTGAGCCTACAGAGCTCGCAGCCCTGAACCGACCCGGAAATTTTTGTCGCACCTCAAGAGGGCAGGTATAAGATGGATCGTACTCCGGCGCAGCCCTACCCAAGCTGATCTTCATGGTCCTGAGGTGGAGCAGGTACTTATGGGCACCATTGGTTTCACGCTTTGTCTGAGAAGGGGGGGTAGATTACAAGGTTTCTAGTGGCAGTTGTATATATATATATATGGAGAGAGGGAGAGAGAGAGAGAGAGAGAGATGACAAAAGAGAGAAAGGAAGATAGAGAGAGAGAGAGAGAGAGACAGCAAGAGAGAGAGGGGGGAGCCCGTGTAAACATTAAGAGAACCCTGGTACAAGGACCTACGGTGTATTCGTGACAGGAAGCCCGCACAGGGGCACTGTCTCAGCATTGCGGCTGAATCTTGCGAGACCTATGGAGCATTGCAAAATGGCCTTAGGAAATCCTCGTTGACAAGTGCTCGAACGACATGAAGCCTTTGTAGACTTACCATTCTAGATCTCATCGGGGTGTATTAGTTTAGGGTTTATGGTTTCCAAAAATCAATGGTTTCCCCTTGAAAGGGAACTACAGATGGTTTCCAAGAATAGCACTGTGCCCTTGAACCGCACCCTGTCTGGTAATTAGCTACCCAAATCCCATACAGCTGATGCATGTAGCTGTGCAAGTGTAGATGTGAAAGACTAGACTGGAACAAGCAATCGTACACGAATTCTACAGCTACAGTAATGTCCCGGCAAGATGCGACTCTACCACACGTTGCATCTCTTCCTCGGTCACGGCCCGCCGGCACACCTGCAAAAGCTTTCATGTAAGCGTGAGCACAGGTTCCGTGCTCATCCAGCTCAAAATAATAGCTGGTAGCTTAGTGCAAAGATGGTGGAGTAGGGAGGAACCGTCTTATTCATCATTAAGACTCTTATGTTTCGCTCTCAACATTCTTGTTGTAATCCTTGCTGTAGCGCCTAAGAGGCTCAGAAGGTAACCAGGGTTGCTGGTGAAATGCACTTGTTTGGTAATTCCATAAATAGGGGAACCCAACGTCTGACCACTTTTTCTGCTGTTCCCAAAATGGTGAAATCCTGACGAGAGGACCCATACTAGATGGGTTGCTCTCAAAATTATGTACCCCTTTAGGTCATAAACGCTATTATGGCACCTAATATTCAGGGGCACAAAAATGGGAACCGCCCATATGGTGGGAGTATACGAGGACAACTCCCACGTTGGGTGGGCTTTTTCTTACAGCAGGAGACTTCAGGAATAATGGATACGGTGTGTAGGGTTTCGGGTTTTAATGGATTCAAGGATTTGGTGGGGACGGCTTAAGGATTGCGCACGATTTGTTTTGAGAAAATCCTACATAGATCGATGTAAGGGTATACCCGGACATACAACCAATTGTTTCAATGCTTTCCATACTTATTCTTGTGACTGTTGCTGCTACTAGTGTTTTACGCTACCATAACCACATGCTACCAGTATTATTATTATTACTACTACTCCTCCTTCTCCTACTTCAGGGGTCTTAAACTTATTCATCCCATCTTCAGACTGGGAGCCCTCTGCTTAGCTAGGCTTAACTTCAAAATACACGCATGGAATACCTCAACATCCCACGACAGATGATTGTCCTTGTCATAGGGACCCTCGTGGGGCTTCATCTCTATTTGGAGGAGTGCTAATGCTGCGGAGGCACATGACCATGAATGTTCCAAGTACCGTGGGAGTTGCAACTGATACGTGGGTGTGGGATGGTGTGCGTATGTGTCCAAATCATGGACCCTGCGTTGGGTCTCGTGGGCAGGACCTTATTATGAAAGACTCAGTTTGTCTGGGATGCACGTTTGGACCAAACAACAAAGTCAAAGAGTCAAGATGATTCAGTCATCGAGTGGGGAGGCAGAGAAGATTCAGATCTTGCCGCCAGATTTCAGATCTTGCCGACAGATTTTGCTGCGAGCATCTGCAAGCACATCGCTGCACATAACCTTCAATCTGCTGTCGTCAGTGGCCCGTCTTTAAGACCAAATCATATTGGGCAGACCCTGATCTGTAGTCTTTGTACAAAGCAGGCGTTTCTGTCACGGAAGGATTCGAAACTGAAGCTTGTGGCTTCTCACAACACAGCATTCAGGTAAGTTGCAAATTCAGGGCTACCCCAGGCCACCAACGACTGGTCAGCTAAAACGGCCAGGAAGCCGCTCCGCACTGAGTGGAGCCGCTGCACATTTCGCAGCTTCTCCTGCACGGCGCTGCTGTCTCCGCCAGTCTTGGCATCCCCCCAGGTCACAACTGACCCGTCGTTTAACAGTGCTGCAAAGGCTGAGCCAGAAGCGTAAACTTGCTGCACGTTCTTCAGCTGCTTCCGGACACTGGAGCTATCGCCGCCACCTTTGTGACAACCCCATGTCACAACAGTTCCATCTTCGCGCAAGGCCGCAAAGGCATCAGTGTCGGTCACTCCTGTCACTTGCTGTACGTTCTTCACCCATTTCCTTGTGCCCTTTTTGCCGCCAAGTCGATCGGGGCTCCCCCAAGACACTACCGAGCCATCCCTGAGCAATGCAGCAAAGGCCCGGTTGGAAGCAAGCAGCTCTTGAACGTCCTTGAGTTTTTCTTTGACAGCGCTGGAATCACCCCCTGCCCTGTTGTCTCCCCATGTCACCACGCGCCCATCGCCCCGAAGGGCAGCAAATGCTGTGGCATTCGATGCCAGTTTACGCACGTCTCTGAGCTGGTGTTGGTAACCACTCTCCCCACCCTCGAAAACGTTTCCCCAGCACACTACAGATCCATCACCATTCAGAGCGGCAAAGGCAAAGATCGTGCTTACCACCTGCTTTACATCTTTCAGCTGGCCTTGAGCAGAGGTGCTATCGCCACCAGCTTGTGGGATGCCCCAAGAGACAACGGAGCCATCGATACAAACCGCGGCAAAAGCAAAGGCCGAGGAGAAAACCTCTCGCACTTTTCCAGAAAAGTTTGGAGCCTCAACAACCTCACTTCCGAGGGAAGTGCCCCAAACCTTCACCGATCCGTCCTGCAGGACAGCAGCAATAGCAGGGCTGGAGGCAGCAAGTTGCTGCACGTTCTTCAGCCGGTCTCGTACATTCCAGCTGTCCCCGCCATTAACGCTGTTGCCCCAAGTCACAACAGAGCCATCATGCTTGATGCAGGCCCAGCAGTAACTGCCCTCAACGAGCTCAAGGGGCCGGGCTTGGAGGGTCAGCACATCTCCATCTTGCAGCTTCGCCTCTCCCACTGTACTTGCAATAGGTAGGCTCTCTCCAGTAACTCCTAGCCTGTCCTGTGCTGTGCGCTGGAGCTCACATGTAGAGGTGTGGGGAAAAACATCCAGCACAGCCCTTCTCCCACTCATCACAGCCACTTCAACGCGAATGGCCGTCCTGTCTTCACAGGAGAGTGCTGGCTGATTATCACACCTTCTCGGCTCCTCCATAGCTGCAGGGCCACGGGCCGTCTACTGTACGACACCCCTGTAGAGCCTGATGACAGGATCTCGCTTTTCAATGTCATGAAATCGTGCAACATCGCTCCCTCCTCAAAACCAGCTTGCAAATTTACGATGCTTCAGGTCAAAATTCTCTCGGAGCACACGCTCAAGAACATGGAAGGATTAGGGCCTAGCCGAGGAGCAGCGTGCTTGTGGCGCCCTGAACAGGACCTATGCAAGTCCTGCATGACCCTAATTACCCTAAACCTTGGGAATAATGGTATTATTATAGTATACTAAGGTCATGCAGGATTTCTAGTATCAGGAGTAGGAAGAGAACCTTGATTCCGCACTTCATGAGGCCTCCTCTTGGACAGGAATTTGCATCATTGCTCAAAGTCGCAGAACAGGTAGCATTCTGACCCAACTAAATCATGCGATGCTTGCAGACTGACAGAAAGATGCTGAAGCATCATCCGCATGAAAGGTTTGGCCCTCCACTCACACATCATAGCATGTCCCTATAGGCTATATTTCCCCTATATAACCCTGTATATATATACATATACTGTAGAAAGTAGTTTCCATTTCATGTTCCATTATTTCAATATTACCCCAAAATACTACTACTAATAAAAACAATCGTGGGCCGGAAGTGTTTCCCTGAAGCCCTCCAGCCTCGAGGAGATTCTCCTTGGTTGGCTGTCATGCACAGCATGGACTCCCCTTAAGACCCCTCTGACAACTACGTGGCACTTAGGACCCCTACTAAGGGTTAACCCTTAGGTACCTATAATAGGAATAGAAGGGAATCCCAAAGGGTTAGGGGTCTAGGGTCCAAGCTATGTCCCAAGGAGACAATAGGGGAACAACTGGGCTGCTGTTGAGGAACCTTCTTTCAAACTACTCTAATAAGGAAACCACATTATTTACTATTATATACACATGATATGGTAAGTGACAATCGAGGTCCGACCCTAAACAATAAACCACTCTAATAAGGAAAGCCCATTATTTACTGTTATATACCCATGTAATCTGGTGTCTGAAAATTGAATTCCTTATCAGCAACCCAGACAAACCTTTTGAGGAAACGATGGTCTGGGACCTGGGCAGCTGTTTAGGTTTAGGGTTTAAGGGTTTATAGGGGTTTAGGGTTTAGGGGTTTAGGGTTTAGGGGTTTAGGGTTTAAGGGTCTAGGGTTTAGGGTTAACAGGAGGCCCAAGAATCGAGGTTCCCACTAATTTGCTCCTGAATAAAGCGGGTACAATTTGTTTCTTGAATGTTCAGCTTTAATAAGGGGACTATTACTGTTGTACCCCACTATAATATTTAGTGGTCGACCAGTTAACAAGGGACCCCCCGCTGTCCGGAAATCCCTATTTCTCCTGATGAACAAGATCCATTAAGTACCGCCCCCCACCTAATAACAGTCTGGCATAAGGGTAATATTAAGGGCTATATGAACTATATCATAACTATTTAATATACAACTACAACGGTTACTGAGCGGGGCAGTATTTGAAATATCCAACAAAACTATCCCATCTCAAGCTTTGAGGCCTTTTGGCTTGCCAGCCCAAGTGGGCTTTTGAAATGGTGTTGGATCCCACTCCGCGTGCCCCTCCCCTGCAAACAAAACGAAAAGCAGAAACAAAACCTCTATAATCGAACATCCCCGAAATAATTTGGGTGTAGTGGGATCCTTTCGTTCCTATTAGACTTAATTCGGGAAGGGGGATCCCGCAGCTCATTGTAAAACAAGAAGGAAATGAGTAATTCCTAAAATTTGGGTTACCTTATGGCGGGTCCCTATAAGGATTATAGTACTTCGGGGTCTATATTGGGGTCCCCCTGTTTAGGGAAACTACCAAATCAATATTGAAAGGCAAGGGACTAGTTCAGTCTAGTTTCACAAAATAAGGTATGATTGAACAAGCGGCTTAAACAGACGTCGATGTGTTCTGGTGGCATCAGGTTTCTATGCTTTGAAGGTAACGCGGCCTGGCCTTCTCCATTTGAAGGGCCCGCCTTTTAAACCAATAGCTTAGGAGAACCCGCCACCCTGTAATAGTGGTATAATAGGAATATAAGACAACCCCTAATATACTGCTTATTATCCATAATGGTCAATATTACTGGGTGGGGGGTCCACCTAACCAATAGCACTGTGGCCTCGCCATTACAAGCGTTCCTCAATTTTTGTGGCAGGGAAGACTTTATCTTTCAGGGCCCCACCAAAATCGGGAGTACAGAGTGTTTTTAAAGACCTCTGCTTTATTCGGGCACCCTCGCGTTAATCAGGCTTCATCATTACATAGGACTCTCTACATATCTCCACAATGCACTGTTGCCCACTACCAACACTTCTAAAGTACATCACAATTGCTAACAATCCATGCGCCAAGCACATCCAAGTCTCCTCCAGAGGCATCTCATCTGTCGTTAACTTCTCCGACAGGAGGCCATTTCGGGTGCGTGTGCGGCCGTCTCCTGAAATGAACAGGGTTTCTATCCGAATCAGGAGCCGCGTGCGTCAACAAAGCAATCAGGTCCGAATTAATGCGTCCCGTGTGCCCAGAGACTTGTTCCTAAAGGTTAAGCCCTTAACCGTAAGCAAGAAAGTGCGGGTCCTAGACTCCCAGTTTCAGTGACAGCAAAGGATGCTCAAGATGATGTTCAAGAATGGGACTGAAGTGTTGTGTCGACTTGGCAGTTTTGAAAATAGGGGTGTGACAGGGACCCCAACAAATATGTAGGTATCATGAAGATATGCTGGGGGTCCCTACTAGGGTTTGTAAAGAGATTGTTTGAGAAACTCCTACTTAATTTTGGCAGGACACTGGAGTTGCGTAATGTACTACATCCTCATCAGAATCCTGTGGGAACAAAGGCTACCATGTGGGACCCAAACTCTGCAACCTGAGAAAGAACTTAGGTTTATGGTCTAGGATTTAGGGTGGTTCTTCCTAGGGGCCCATGCTTCCAACCGTTGAAGGAACTGACGTGGATGGTGGTTCATCTTAGGGAGCCCAATAGTGGCACCCAAAGTGTCGGGAGCCAAGCTCAAGGTTTAGGGTTTAGGGTTTAGTATCGGTGGATGTTGTTGCGAGGGGTTTCAAAACAGGGCCATGATGCTAAAAGCTACCCATGTAGACTTGGATCCTCCCATGAAGGCGCATTTCTACCTCCAGCCTAGATGAATCTAATGTGCAAGAAAGGAGGATAACAAGGAAGCATCTAACCAGAAGCCCCAACCCTGCAAACCATCTAAACCGGAAAATCTATGACTATTACTATTATTACTGCCATTTCTATTTATCACTGTTATTACGATTATTGCAATTATTCCTATCACTACTAGTAGGGGTGCCCTATACCATAAGAATACGAGGAATCTAGGACCACAACAATAATGTTGGTGATTAATCAGGTCTTTGTATTAGCAGCATTGGATGTGCTCGTATGAAGTTCGCTTTCTACATCTTTCCGCTGCATCGTTACTTACCAAAATCGGCGCGGCATGCACAGTTCCACATCTAGATTGAACCACAATTATCCACACATCTACACCCTGGCAGACTGTACGCAACACTTCTGCAAAATGCCCAGCACTGTACTAATTACATAAGGACAACCTCGATGTAACGGGTGTTCAACTTTGGGTACTCTAAACCCTAAACCCCACACCTCTCCCCACAACAAAAGCGGTTTTCGTCTGAAGGCTGCCCCCAAAAGGGTTTAGGGTTGAGGGTTTAGGGCCAGACAAAATCTGTACATGAACTCAGGAACCCTGATGAGACAAGCCTGCTTTCATATAAGCTAGAGTCCAAAGTCCTAATATGCCCCTATAAATAACCCCTATACTACTCCCCTATTTAATGGCCCATGTAACCCCCCTTTAAGGAATTTAGACTACAGCTCATATGAAATGCTGCCGCACGACCATACTGCTGCCACGTGTTGAAGAGGAAGATGCCGCGCTCATATCTATCGGGAGAAGTTACCTGCCAAAAGACTGGGTTAGGGATGTCTAGGGTTTAGGATGGTTTAGGGCTTGGGGTTTAAGGTTTAGGGTTTAGGGTCTAAGGTTTAGGGTTGAAGGCTTAGGGTTAAGGGTTTAGGGTTCAAGGTTGCCGTTAAGGAACTTGAACTAAGCTAATCTATTGGGGAAACCATATTAATTACTATATAGTCTAGAGGCTCCAGTATACTTGGGGAGGCGTCAAGCCATAACGATGAAACAGCAAATATGCTGGAAGGCAGAGGTCGATGTTGAACCTGCTTTCTCTGATGGCCATGCCTGCAAACAGGAAGCCCGTAGTGCAATACCAGCACTGCAGAGGTCCTCTTTGCAGGGAGCCGCAAATCGAATCCAGAGTCCACACCCGCGCGGGAGTTTCTCAAACTCAGGGCCCCCTAGGCACACAAAGCTCTTAATGGTAACCCTTATCCATCTTGTGCTGGAGGTACTTGAGCCAGGCAGCCCAGTGTTTCAGCATCAAGGTTGGGAGTTATGATGCCCCGGATTGGGCTAAGATTTGAAAGGAAATCTTTGCAACAACAGTGTGGTAGACCTGTCTATACCACTCTCTTACAAGCGTTGCTTGCGCATGAGGGCTACAGCTAAAGCTACACCTTAGAACATGTCATACATATATGAGCCATTGTCTAAACTCCTAGTATCTGCCTTCATAGCCCCCATAGTACCCCCCTATATAGTCCCCTATATAGCCCCCTTTAAGGAGTTTAGACTATGGTATGTATGGCATGATGATGACAAGAGCAAAGATGGTTGTCATGACTGACACCATAAGTGAGCTACCGCCAGTATGGGTGGATTTCCCAAAATTAGGGTTTAGG